GACAAATTCTACTGATATCTTAGTCCTCTAACGATGCCAAGAAAAGATGTCCCCCATCTCTGAAATTTAGGCTAATTTTTGTTCTCTAGTATTTCCTTACCTTTGTAATAATCTAGGCTCATTTGGACCGTGTTCTGACTTAAGACATGAAGCTGAATCTACATGGGAATTTTCTTCTCCTCGATACTTAAGCCACCTCCCACCGTCTTTTGAAATAGTGTCTGTGTTACATTCTCAGCTTGCTGAGTTGTGGTTTCCTGGGTTGCATGGTCTTCCCTGTTCTATATCTGTAATTTTGTCATTACTTTTCTCTGGTCTCTTCGAGGCTTTCTTACACTGTCACCCCCGATGTCCTTTAGTGGTTTGCTTCTAGCAGAGGATTGAAGTTACTGAAGCTTCTGAACAGTATGGAAGCCTGCGTCTGGCCTTGCTTCCGCACCAAGTGCTCAGGGCAAAGGCTGCATTTCCTACCCCAGATAGGGCTGTCTTGTTTTGCTTTGCTCTGAGTTTGATGTAGTTTAGATCACTAAGAAGGATCATGGAAATGAGAGTGGATTTGCCCAGGACAGCAACTTGGGAGCTGAGGAACAACACTGGATAACAGAGCAGGAAGTCATTTCAAAGTGTGGTGAGAATGGCATGCTGAGGTTCAAGCCTCTACATTTCGTAGGAATGGTAGGGTGTGGAACAGATCGAGTGAGAGATGGCCCTGTGCGAGCAAGGCAGGAAGCCTCCTAGAAGCCACGTGCTGATTGGCTGCCAGATGACAGTGGCATCTTCGAAACTGCAAGCCACATTTCACACTGGGAGTGGAGAACACACACAGCCTTCCTGCTGCTCCCCTCGACCTGCCTGCTCCAAGCCCAGTGAGCTTGGTTCTGTTCCTCTCGAGGATGGAAGGAAGCTGAATTGAAATTGAAAGGGAGTTGGGAGACGTCTGAAGGAGAACGGAGGAGCAGCTGAGAAGAGCGTGTGAGAGGTTGAGCAACACCTGTGATCAGTTTCTCTGGTTGGGCTGAATCACAGGAACCGTGAGATATGGGACTGTTGTTTTACTGTTCCTACTGACCATGGTGATGGCTCTCAGGCCTGAGGCCGAGTCTCAGCTGAAGGGGCTTGGTGCCCTGGCCTGGCCCGCTGCCCTTTCCTTCATTGCTTCTGCAGCCATCATCTTTCTCATAAACGCATCCTGAAATCTCTCTCCGGAGTCCTCTTGTCAGGCCCTCAACAAAAGTATTTTGTGAAGCCTGACCTGTAAGCAGGGCCTGTTCCCAGTGAGTCCCCTTCCTAGGGCTCTTGGCAGTGAGAGACTTGATCTGTGTCCCTGCATCTGGTGACTTCAGGACCTCTTCTAGATTTAATGTGGATTTCTAACTTCCTTCCTGGCAGTTCCACACATCCGTCGGTCTCAGCACTAGAGACTGCACAGGAGCTACTTCCAAACTTTCTCCCAGCTCTGCTGAGTGACCTCAGGGTGACTCAAGGCTATAGTAGCAGCCCATGCTCCTCCATCCTCTGTCTTGCATGTTGTTCTACCTCTCTGGTGTGTCTTATACTGGCCCTCTTGAGACCAAAAGCGTTCCTGACCACTGACTTCTGCGCTTTCCCCATTCACCTCTCTTCTGCTCTTCCGCTGAATTTCTAATTCAGATCTTCTTTAGCCTTTTCTGTGGCCTCTTATTTCCTGAACCTTGGATCTGACCTAGGCTTCCCCGTTTCCCCCTGTTATCTGTCCCTACCTCCAGAGCTCGGGTGGTGAGCCAAGGGCTTGGGGATGTGCCTACATTCGCAGCCCTTCTCCCACAAATGCGTGAGAGCTACTTCTGGCTTGCCGCCAGACTTCCCTCCGATGCACACGCAGCTGTGTGTTCTGCCCTTCAGCAGAATATGAGGGTGGCTGGAAGCGTTCTAAAATTAGTCAAGGCTCTTTGGGTTGTAAATGACAGGAACCAACTCAAAACAGCTTAAGCCCGTGGAACGTGTTGGATTGCGGATGGAAGGCCGGGAAGGGCTCTCGCTTGAGGCACAGTAAGATCCGTCACGAATGGGCTGTCAGTGCCCCGTTGTTCTCGCTCCGCTGCTCTGCCTTCTTTCTGCCTGAGGTCGTTGGCACAGACCTGGAAAGATGGGCATTCCTGGCGTATGTGATACTTCAGCTGTGGTCCAAGAGTCAGGAGAAGATGCTGTCTTCTCTCATCATTCTTCCCGATAGTCCTCAGTGTGGGGATCCATAATTCCCAGGGCCTCGGCCAGACAGGGTTTGGAGAACCATGAGTGAGAGCCCCAGAGGAACTGTATGGGAGGGGAGGAGCTGCTGTTAAGAAAATGGCTTCTTAAATTTATCTATTGTTTTTAAATATGGCATAAACTGGTGTAATAGCTCAATAGAACTTGTGTTTCAGATTTTGGAAGGGATAAATATGGAGAAGGTCAGCACCTTCTCCTCGAAGATCCCCAACCTGACCATGGGAGATTAACGAAGCATCTTGTAGATGTCGTTAGTCAATGGCATCAGTGACACAGATCTTTCTTTCTGCACCAAATCCCATTGATTGGCTGATAATCAATCATCTTTCAATGAGAAGCATTAGCATCATCCAGGGTGACATCCTTCAAGCCACTAACTGGTCAGGTCAGGGAGCTCACGCAGCCTCGGTCGCTCGAAGGGACACCAAACATGACAGGCACTGTACTCTTCAGTGTGCTGATGAAGGATCAAAGTGGGCTTAGTTGTTCTTAGTCCCACTTTATAGAGGGGCAGCTAGAGGCAAAAGTCACAGAAGCAAGAGCCTTTGATCTTATCCACTGTGTCGATAGTATATCTGCACCTTCACTTTGCTTCGTCTCTCCAAGGTGAGGTGAGCCACACTGGGGAGACCTCTGGTACGACAGTATCATTGTGAAAACGGAGTCTTCGCCTGGAGTCGGCATGTTGTAAAGTCTTTCTTCATTCAGTGTCTTAAAAATGAATGTTATTAATTCACTGAGTGGAAGATTTGGTGGAGCCAGGCATTTAAGAGATCTGTAAAGAGGGGTAATTGAGGAAGGTGAACAGCAGAGACGGCATTCTCATTCTGCCTCTGCTAGAGGGTGTGGATTCGTGGGCAGAGAACGTACACTCTCAGTTTTCCCATCTCTAGATTGCCTACAGCGTAGATGTCAAGAGTATTAGTCACACTTGTCCCACCTCTGAGTTTAGGGAAACTTAAAAATATACAGGAGAGAGAGATAGAGGCTGGGAAGGTGGATCTCCAAGTTCAAGGCCAGCCTGGTCTACAGAATGAGTTTCAAGACAAATAGGGCCACACAGAGAAACCCTACCTCAAAAAAAAAAAAAAAAAAGTGAAAAAGTGAAATAGTGTCTGGTTATCAGTTTTGTTGCTGATGAAACCAATTTGAACTGAGACAAAAGAAAACTTCCTGAAACTCTGCCATCTTAAACTGGCACTCTATGTGGAGAGAGGTTGAGAATGTGTGGCAGTTGTAGGCCTGGCTTCGTACCTGCCTGATTCAGTTTGTCTAGTGCATGCAGGGAGGAAGTGGAGTGGAAACACCTGACTTGTGTCCGTGTGACACCCTGAAAAGAAAAAAGCAGAAGGGAAAGAAAATAAAAAAAAAAAACAACACAAAAAACCAGGTGGGGTCAGACGGGGACAACAGCCAAACATAGCCCACCTCATGACTCCCGTGGATAGAAAGGCAGGGGAGCCTTTCTCAGAACCCTTTGCAGAAGATAGACATTCCCATTGCAGAGATCAAGGTGGAAACAGCGAGAGAGGGAACAAATGTTGGTGTCCCCACATGTTGTCACCTCGGTAGCTTTGCTGGGAAGCCTCCATCAAAGTGAAGCCTAGACAGGACGCATCTGGTACGCCATGCCAGTGCCCAATTTGCTCGTCTCATGCTGCCCGCAGGCAGACTGGCCACGGCTGGACTGACATCCTGGATGTAACTGTGAGAGATGTGGTAGAGCCCTGGGGTCAGCCAGTTCGTGAAAAACCTCCAGGGGATCTGGCTGTCAAGAGCTGGGAAGCAGGGAGGCGTGGCCCACAGAGCGCCATGATTGTAAAGCATGTAGAAATCTGGCCTCTTTCTGTGGCAGTGAGACAATGCGCAGAGCTGAGAAAGGGACGGGTTTCTTTAGCTCACACTTTAGGGTACCTCAGGTGAGGGTTCCACGCTCGATGGCTATGTTCATAGTGGCTTACGTAGGGAAGTGTCCTTGTGCCTTAGCGGTCAGCATGGTGGCTTACATAGGGAAGTGTCCTTGTGCCTTAGCGGTCAGCATGGTCAGCACGCACAGAGTGGACCCTTTCTTGTTCCTTTCGTGACAATCTGCTTTCCTGGGAACCACCTTACTCCTTGAAACCAACACCAGCCACTCCCAGGAGCATCACCCTCGGTCGTCCATTAGGCCTTCTACCAGCTCTGCATCTGAGGGGTTCCGCTTCTTACATCATCACTCTGGACACAAAGCTTCCAATGTCTAAAGTTTTGGGAAACACCTTTAAACCATTTCCAAACCATAGCACCTACTAACAAACATCAAAACCAGGACTCCATCCCCTGTGGGTGTTGGAACATGCTCATCACTTCTTTTTATCATATATATATATATATATATATATAAAATGTGCTAATATTAGTCATATATTATATATTACATATTAATATATGCTTTCTTAGCTTTAGGCCATTCACCATGTTGCACGACCTACCACCTACCACTCCCTATTTCCAAACTTTTTATCACTCCACACAAAACCTCTGAGCATTACAGTGAGTTCAGCCCCTTGCCACAACCATCAGTTCTTGGCCGCTATGAACTTGACTCATCTAGATGTTTCCCAAAGGTGGACTCATACAAGAACTGTCGTTTTGTCGTTTCGGTGCGTGGGTATTTCACTTTCTGGGTTAAAGTCTTTCATGGCATCCTGGAGGACCACTTCTAACTTGATCTGCCCTCCCATTCCCCCGTCTTTTCTTCTTAATGTTTTCAGAGCCCCCACTTCCAGAAGTAGAATTTTTCAGCATCCAAGGAGGGTCTCTACCACACTTCTGGTTGAGGAAAGCCAGGGATGTAAATGGACCTATCAGGTGAGTACCTGTCTTTTCACCACCGTCTGCCTAGTGGTCCCACTATGTGAACCTATCAGGTGAGGACCTGTCTTTTCCCCACCGTTGCCTAGTGGTCCCACTATGTGAGTGAGAAGACTTCCCTGTGGGTGGCTGAACTTGGGTTGTTGCATTGCCCAATGCAGCAGGGCCTCTTGCTTTGTTTCCCTGAGCACACACTGGGCTTTTCAGCCCGGTTGCTTCCTTCAAGACCGAGACTTATAAGGGACCAGAGACCAGAATCTGGGCAGCACAGCTCTTGAAATGAAGTGGTCCTGTGGTCACAGACCTCAGTTGACAGCATCAGAAAGTGCCCCTTGCGTGACGGTGGGGACACAAGGATTGTCTCACTTCCCAGAGACAGGATGTCCTCCTTCCGTGTCGGGCTGATCTTGGGCGGTCTATGTGTGTGTTTGTGTGTGTGTGTAGTAGTAGTTGTTGTTGTTGTTTTTGGAAAGGTCATTTAGAGAATTCTTTTTATCTGTTCACATATTGAGTTACAGGCAAGACACGGTGTAGTTAGTGCCCTGCTGGGATTCCAGATGCTGTTAGGATGGAATTAATTTATCTCTGTTGGACCACGGTTTGCTCAGGTTTGCATGTTATTTACAGAGGCCATAGAAGGATTAGGGAAGTTGAATTCATCCCCTCTTCTCAGAGAGGAAGCTTAAGATTGACCTGCGGATGGGAGCCACAGTACCAGGTCAAGGAGTTATGGTGTACATGGCCTGACCTACATGGCCTTTTGTCATTCCTGACCTTTCCGTGTAGTGGCTTTGGTGCAATCAAGGTAAAAATAAATGTGAGATATTCTAAAAGGCAAGTCTGGAGATAGGGTTGCCCTGCCTTCAGACTAGGTTAAGTTCAAGTCTTTTCAGGGACAGACATTGCCCAGACGGCTCTGTTTCTTGATTCCTGGTAAGTTACTGGAAAGTATTGTAATGCTGTTGCTGTAAAGGGAAGAGAAGTCATGGCATCATTGCCTGAACGAATTTACAAGAGCAGATGCGATACTTAAGCCAAATAATTGCGTAAGGCGAAAAGAAAAGCCAAATGACAGCCTACCCATGTGGCAGTGGATCAGCCGATGCTTTCAAAACAGGAAGTGGAGACTGGTGAGTCATCCAGGGAGGGCCGTGGGGAGAAGTCTTTACACACTGGTCAGGTGGTCAGGTTCCAAACCACGGCAACTGCTTCTTTGGCGTCACCGGGGCTGTTTATCAGAAGGTGAGCATGCCATTCCCCCAGCCTGGCTGCCTGGCTAGAGCCGCCGATAGCAGCTTTGCCAGGCCAGAGTCCACTTTGAGTCTTTTGTGTGAACCCTGGCACGGAGCAGGCAGAGCGTAGGCAAGCGATCAGGCCTGTCCCTGGGCTCCCTTGAGGCAAGTGTTTTTTTATCTTTACTAGCCAACAGGAATCCACTGGCATGCTTCATCAGCAGCAAACATTCTCCACTCTAGTCCTGGAGACTTTGATCCAGTAGGCTTGGGATGGGATCTGAGCATTTCTGTAACTGCCAGGCTGAATAGGAAGCCGCTTCCTGCCCTGTGAACGGCGCCTGCCATGGACAATGTACAGAATCAGCTGGGTGCAGGGAAGCCTTGGACTTGACCATTATCACTTACCTGGCAGGATGAGACAGATCGAGAATGTTTTTCTGGACAGCGTGGGGCTCTTGCCCAGGACCACCAAGCCTCCAAGTCCCCAGAAACGCTGTCACAGGTGTTCCCCAGGGGCAATGGAAACCAGTCGATGTTTCTTGTCGCCGCTGGTGACTATTTGTGCGCCCGCAGGTTTTACTCAATCTCTTTTGCTCAGAGGCCTTTTCGGAAAGTGAGCCAGACTCTGTGGAAACCGGGGTCCTAGGGACACCTGATGTGGCTGGATACACAGCATGTGGCTGGAGGCTTTCCAAACACAACAGCTACTGTGGGGGGAGGGGGCTCCCGCTCCTTTAACCTAGTGATTCATGTGCTTTTCGGGAGCAGGAAATGGGGCATTAGGAAAGTGGAACAGGAAGCACGGAATTGGTGGTGAAATAGAATTATGGGGCCTAATGAGTTTTGGAAATCACCCTAATCATATTTGATGCCGATCCAGGCATTTTTTTTTATTGAAAATTCAACCGAACCAGCAGTTATGAGGAGTTGATCATAGCGGAAGGAATATGAAAGGACCTGCAGGTGCAAGAGGCAGTCAGTCCTGCAACCCCCACTGCAAAGTTCAGTAGAGATAGATGTTCAGACGTGTGTGACGCCAGAGGGGGGAAATAAAGGATGAGTCGGTAGAAACGGGAAGGGAGGCATGATTCGATCAGGTGCCTTCCATTCCGACACTTCTCATTGGCTGGCTTTTCCCTTTGGTGGATAAATCCGACTAAAATACACGACAGAATGACACCTGACTGTTAGTGTGTTTCCAGGCCCTCATTTTGGGGATGTTTTCACCAGATCCATGTGTCTTTTTACTTTCCCAGGGTCCTGTCAGCCTAGATTAACTCATGGTGACTTTTCACCCCTGACCGCTCATCGGGTTGGCGTGAGCCTTGGCGTCAGACTCTGAGCTGCAGGGAATGTAAATCACATGAGTTCTGTTTTAAGTCGCCGCATGACTGTCTGGAGCCGGTTTTCAGACTTAGCACATGCACTGTTGTAGGTGCTTGGCCTCCATGTGACTGCTAAACCCTTCCCGCTGCCAGGCTTCGCTTGCCCATGTGGAGCACTGCCATGTGACAGACACAGGCCGTGGGTACAGGCACCAGTTTCTCCCAGCTGGGGAAGCTGGGCCTTGGACTTAGCTTCTCATCTGGCTGTAGGTAAATTTGGAGGTCGGTTCCTGTTGGAACTGCCAGACACTAAATCCCGTGTAAGCCACCTATTTCTCTCGTCCATGCTTGTGCTTCTAGTGTCTCAAAAGTGCTGATTGCGTAGTGTGAGTTCAAGAAGCCCAAGTACACAGTCCTCCAAACGGGAGCGCGGGGTGGGCTTTATAAAATACACTTCTGGTTAAGGGCCTGAGGAGGAATAAAATCTTCCTTCTTAACCAGGCCCTGGCCAATTTCTCTGCTTTCCCCGCCCCCTCTCTTAGCTCCTACCAGTTGCTAGTCCTTCCCCTGGCCTTGGAAAGCACATTTTCTTGTGGATCTGAAGGCATGACTTCATTTTTTGGCAACACCTCTCTTGCTGGTGGCTATGTGGCTGCAGAAATACTGGCCAGTGATGTTCCAGATGATGTATTGGAGATACCTGTCGGAGACAGGCTGTACTACGGGGAATATTACAACGCGCCTTTGAAACCAGGACGCGATTACTGCATTCTAGTACGGATCACAAGTGAATGGAATAAGGTACAGTTTTTTTCTCTCTTCCCCATGAGATTTAAATAGTTTGAATAACACACACACACACACCCTCCCCCCATCTACGATGGACGCCCCTTGGAATAACCACAGAAACATGTGCTTCTCCCCTCATGAGTGCTGTTTCTCTAAAGGGTGGGCGGGTGAGACATGCTAGGTGACAGCCCACACTACTGCATCTACATTGGGACTGATCTTTGCGCATATCTCTCGAGCTTCTTCATGAGCACCGGATCCAACAACACCGCTGGAGTCCGAGCTGAAAAGGAGTACTTAGATCAGCTGCTTCCTCTATGCCCTCCCGGGTGGCTGCCTCCCTTCATTTTCCAGGGAAGCAGGAGGGAGTGGCAGACCCCAAAAGAAGGCAGCACTGTCTTGTTTTGCACAGGCCCCATTCTCCCCACCCCACCCCCTTCAGAAAGCCTCATCCCTACCAGCTGTGTATCATTCACTAATTAGCAAATGTAATGAGCTAGGAGAATTCTAAACTTGGCGCAAAACCCTGTGGGTGGGAAACTAGGAAAATTACGTAAATACTAAGAAAGCATCTCTTGACGGATACGTTTGAAGCAAAAGTATGTAGCCATCTCAATCGCAAGGCGCTTCATATTTAAAGCAGGCCCTATTGAGTTCCACCTAGAACAGGAGTCTGATGTGCCTGCCACTGTCATGCTGAGAGCAAACCCAGACTCACTTTTTAAGACTTTGTAGCAGAGAGGCCAAGGACTAGTTTGTGACAATAACATAGGGAAGCTAAAGGCAAGGATACTCTTCCTCACAATGCTAATGTGACAGGCACCCTCATAGGTGCAAGGTAGTGCCTCGCTCTGATCTTGTTTTGCTTTTCCTTAAAGATTAAGGATGTCAGTCTTCTCAAGTACTTGGTGGTTGTCTCTTCTTTAGCTCATGTGTCTATTCAAACACTTTCCCTTTTTTCACAGGCTGTCTCTGTCCTGGAACTCGCTCTGTAGACCAGACTGGCCTCGAACTCACAGAGATTCGCCTGCCTCTGCCTCCTGAGTGCTGGGATTAAAGGCGTGCACCACCACCACCCATTTAATTTTTTAAATTGAGTTGTTTGATTTTTTGTTGTTGTTGTTGTTGCTGTTTGGTGTTTGGAGTTCTCTTATAGTTTGGATATTAATCTCTTATGAGATGAAATGGAAAATATTTTCTTCCGTTCTGTTTTTTTGTTTACTATTAATTATGTTCTTTGATGCACAAAAGGTTTAAATGTTGTTGAAGTCCAATTTGTCTATTTTTCTTTTGCTGCCTGTGTTATCGGGGTCACAAGAAGTCACTGGCATGAAACTTCTTATTTGTATTGGCTTCTAGGAGTTTTGTAGCTTTAAGTGTTACTTTTGGGCATTTGATCCATTTTGAGTTAATTTTTACATTTGGCATTAGATACAAGTCTCACCTCGTTTTGGGGTTTTGCTGCTGTTTTTACACATCAACACGACTTGTTGAAAGACCAGCCCCCATTGAATTCTCGATGTTTGTTCTCATTCCTGGCCCAGTTGCTGTAATGATGCAATGCCCTGACAGACAGCAACTTTGAAGCGGAAAGGGTTTCTTCAGCTCACAATTCCAGGCAGCAGCACATTATTTTGGAGAAGTTGAGGCAGGAACCTGAGGCAGCTAGTCAAGGTCACGAGTAGAGAGAGAAGGCATGCATGTGTATTATGCAGCAGACTTTGTTCACTATGATGTAGTCCAGGACCCAAACATAGGGAGTGGTGCCACCCATGGTAGGCTGGGTCTTCCCGTCAATTAAAATGATCAAAACAGTCTTACAGACCAGTGTGATCTAGATGGCCTCTCACTGAGATTTTCTTTCTAGGTGATTCTAGATTGCATTGAGTTGACCACACCGCCATTGTAAGTGCTTCTTTCAAAAGCATCTGACATTCATTGCTGGGCGCTAGAGTCTGTCTTTATGGTAGGCACACCCTGTCTTCACAGTATGCTTTGAAAGCATGTCTTCTAACAGCTCCATTTATTTCCTTCTGTATGTCTGTCCTGACTCATGCCTCCATTAAGCCTTGTAGCTAAGGGAGGCGCTAAGAATAATTCTCGTCTCCTTCCTCTTTCATGCCTTCTTCTCTGTTCAGTCACCAGATCCGGTCAGTTCTATCACCTGAATGCCATTTTTTTTTTCCCGTTTGTGGAAATGTTTTAATTGGAGATTTGTAGGTACAGTGGTTAATCTGTTGCCCACAATTCCTTACCAATGAGGCCTCATGCTGGGATACCCTCCTCCTTACCATCTGAACACAGGATGGTCATAGACCATGTTCTCATGTTACAAAATTCACATCTCTGGTAAGCTAAGGACTGTGGTACAAAGGAACATTCCATAGCCAGAGTCACTACAGCTTGCTAGAAACATCAGTTACTTTAGAATACTTTAACTATAAAATATATTGAATTTCCATATATTAACCATATACATGTGTACCTATTACTAAATGTAGTCAGTTGTTTGTTACAAAATAAGACATTCTGGGCGAGCAGGCCACACGCACACACACACACACACACACACACACACACATCAGTCTGAACTCCCCAGGTGAGGCCCCGTGCCACCAACTGCAACTGTCCATCCAAACTCAGTTCCAGACTGTTCTGGTGGCTAAACATACCCACAAGGCGCTAGTAACCCAGTCCGTGCAGGTACCACCAGCTGTGGGAGGACAAGTCCCTCCAACTTCAGAGTGAAGGCTCCTGGCTGCAGACCTGGGCATGGGCCCAGCCCTCCCTTGCTTGGTCCCTGAACTTGAGCCACTGGTGACTGGTTCCCACACCAAGAGTCTTCCAGGGGGTCTCAGGAACAAGTCTGATGGAGACTGTGATCACTGGCTGTGTCCACTGCACCTCCCTGGGCTCTGTAAGCCCCAAGATCACACGTGCAGCCTGGCCCAGGCATGGGCTATAGGCCATTGATAGATAAGTTTCTCCCTAGACCAGGTCCAACAGAGTATATGGACAGTGGTCCCTGAGGTCATCCTGTGCCAAGGCCACAACCGGTCTGGTCCCCTGGGTTGCAGGGTGGGACTGAATGCCGGCCAGAGGGTACAGGAGTCATGTGCTCAGGTGCTCTAGACAAGGACCTGCTGTTTGCCAGAGCCGGTGACAGGGTTGCCTCCTCCAGGGTGGCAAGTGCAGGTCATCAAAAGGCCTGAAGCCAGCTACCAGTGCCCAGTGGGGCTCACAATACAATTGGCAGGCAGGGAGATCAATGCAGACTACTCACTGTGTCCTTGGCCCTCCCTTGGCCACAGCCTTGGCCTGGATCAGCCAGTCGTTCACCCTGCTGGGTTTACGAAGGCTGTGTGCAGATTCCGACTTCTTGAGGGTCTCACGCCGCCTGGTACCTCAAGGCCCAAAGACCCAGGTGGGGAGAACAGAACACACCTCTGTCCATAGTCCTATTTACAAAGAACCAGATGAAGATGGAGTTGCATGTGGCCTGGGCACAACTCTAGCAGAAGCTGGGAGAACTCCTAGGTGTTGGTCCTGGGGCTTGGCAAGGGCTGCAGCCATATAAGGAGGGCCAGGCATACTGAAGTACCTCCTCACATTTTAATGATGATAATGCAACAAAAACCTTTATATACACAGTTTATTTACTCTAAACAGCAACACAGACAAACCGCCATATAAACACAAAGGAAGTGGTGCAGAATGGAGACGCTGGCCAACTTTGGATCTGAGGCTCATAAGCAACAGCCCAGGTTTCTGAGGAGGTCGAGGGTGGGGAGGGAGGGACAGTGTGGTTCTGTCATACAGCCAGCTGGAGGCCAGAGCTCTGAACAGTGGGAAGCATGCCTGCATCCGAGCGCGAAGAAACTAGCTCCTAGGGGCTTACCAAGTACAAAAGATTATCATTTTACAGCAGTTGAAATACTGACATCAATATTAAAATAAAAGCAAGTTTTACATAACAATCAAAAATACAAAAGACTGAAGGAAGAGACCCTGTATGAAAAACTGGGGCAATTCAGCGAATTGAGACCGTATATGCCAGTGGCGGAAATGGAAAATGGCGCCCGCTCAACCCTCCCAGGCGACTAGTAACTGTACGCAGTGACTTAGATCTGCAAAAGGTTGTAAACAAGTTCTTGCCAAGCCAATCCCTTCCTCGTCATGGAGCCACAGGGCCGCTGCTTATGAGGGGGCAAACTTCTTCGCTTGTGCTCGCACCCTTTTCTCATATTCCACTCTGTGTTGGCAGTAAATTGTGTAGGCCTCTGCTTGAGCTGGGTCTTGGATATTTGGTTCATTTAGAAGTTCTTGTATTCCTAATAAGATCTGCTTGATCGTGATAGCTGGCCTCCAGTCCTTGTCCTCCTCCAGGATGGACAGGCACAGTTTTGGTGGTGAGGACGGATAGTCATCTTTGAAAAGCATCCGCAGTTTGAACAAGCCTCCTTCCCATGGAGTCCCCTTCTTTCCAGGGATAGCGCACTCCCAATTCATCAGGTTCATCGTGCCATCAGGATTCTTTGTTGGGACAGCCACAAAGCCAAAAGGGTGGTCCTTCCTCCAAGCTTTCCTTTCCTGGGCAAGTAGGCTGAGGGCAATCCCCGACATATTCAAAGTCCCTGGGCGACTGCGGTCGCGGCCGTAGAGGCGGCGGCACTCCTTTGTCTCGGGACTTCCCTCCGCCCTGAATGCCATTTTAAAGTTCTTCTTTCTTTTCTTTTTCCTTCACCAGCAGTGTCCGTAGTTTGCCACCTTTTTTTCTCTGCCCATCACTCGTTCAGATTCTTGCCTCTTACTTTACCCATCTCCTTGCTCGGTCTGCTGCCAGGGTGAGTTCTATAAAGTGAGCATCTGTTCCAGGAACATCAGCTCAAACCTTCCTGCTTTACCTGGCCCCCGCTGCAATGTTTTCAGTTCTTTAGTAACCTTACTATCAGGGCGCCCTTTGTTTCTTGTCGTCTTGACATGCATATTTCTTCATTCTTAATCTCAAAACTTAGCCTCAAGACAAAATTTAATTATGTTAGAAACCTGTGGCTATTTAAAGCCTTTCAGAAAATTTCAGTTAAAATATATTAAAAAGTAAACCAAAAAAAAAACCCCTTTTAAGATCATGAAAACCATCCTGGCATGGTGGCACAGGCCTTTGATCTCGTCACTCAGGAGACAGAGGCAGGTAGATCTTTGTAGTTTTGAGGCCAGCATGGTCTACAAATCGAGTTTCAGACAGAGAAACCCTGTCTTGAAAAACAAGCAAACAAAACAAAATAACAAAAGAACATAACCAGAATGCCCAAGTGTGTCACGTGAAAGAGAGTTTCATAATAAGGTTGGAGAGGTTGTTCTATAACCTCTTTTCCCAGGGGAGACTGCATTGAACCCTTAGTCATACACAAGAGTCCTAGACATCCTGATCAACAGGTAATGTATGTGATATGTATACGAATGACCAGAAGATGAGGTGCTCAGGGTTCTTGCGGCTTTTTTCCTGGTTTTTGGATGCATTTTGGGTGAATGAAGTTGCTAAGCCTCACCTAGATAGACGACATGTTATCATCTACCAGATTTTCTCATTGCTCGCCCATCACACACATCGCTACTTCTTGTTGAACCTAGGTGTGGTCTCAGAATTTCAGCACAGTTCCTCAAGTAGCCCTTGCCAGTTGCTCCGAGCTGGCAGCAGAAATGATGTTCCCGACATTCTGTTGTCTCCTCATAGTGTGAGCTTTCTGGGACCTCTCAGAAGCCCCCAGAAGTGACGTCTAGAGCCAATCCTATACCCGTTATCCATGCCAGCCCCTTAAATACTGATGATACATGGCTGAATTATAAGATGTAAGAGGCAAGGCTGGGATTGTAGCTTGGCGGCAAAGCCTTGCCTAGCATGTGTGAGGCCATGGGTCTATTACCCAGCAACATAAAACAAATGCGCACACTTATAAAAGCTAGATAGGACTCAAAAGATTTTCTAGTTGGGATTAGAGTATGAAAAGGCTGAGACTCTGAGGGTGTCAGAGTCGGTGTTACGTTGTTTAAGATGATGCTGTGTGCCTCCTACTTAGGTGGATTTCTGCTTCCCCCGCCAGGTGAGAAGATATTCCTGTGCCATCTGGGCCGAGGTGAAAGGTAAAACCCTTTTCCTTCTATGCACTCTGTCCTCCCATCTTCAAGCTGCAGCACCGATTTTATATTGAGGGCTCGTTTTAAATTGTCCCATGTGACAACAAGTTAAGGGACCGTCAGAAAAGTGCAGACATTCTCGTGTCATAGGGACTATGACATATTTAAATGCAAAGCCTTAACCGAAGAGGTGGGAACTTGTGGAATTATACAAAGAGCTAAGCCAGGCGGTGGTGGCCCATGCCTTTAATCCCAGCACTCGGGGGACAGAGGCAGGCGGATCTCTGTGAGTTTCGGGCCAGCCTGGTCTACAAGAGCTAGTTTCAGGACAGGCTCCAAAGCTACAGAGAAACCTGGTCTTGGAGGGGATGACATCATCAGGCTTCAAGGCATTGGACTTCATACCATGAGTGGGGACCATCTTTGCTGTCAGCCTCTTGTCCCTGCTATGTCCGTGGGCCTGTATTTTTCTACTGTAGCCATGTGGTTGGAGAGAAGGGCCCCCAAGATACTCCAGATGAGCAACTTCAGTGGGGACAACGTTTTACAGTTTAGAGGAGCCCTTCCTCCTAGCGGAAGTGACTTTCCATTGGCTGAGTCATCCCTGATTTGAGGTAGGGATCAGTTTGCCTGGGTTTTGTGTTTTTGGCTTGTTGGGGACGAGCAGTGTAAGCAGTTGTTCAGCCAGAGTGGCAGCGAGAAGGGGCAAAGATTCTTATCAAGTTTAAGGGCGCTGGAGAGCTTAGTTACCAAGCAAAACAATAGCTGCAGAAGCCCGAGACCTGCTGTTTGGCGGTATACCATGTATACACATATACACCATGTATACACACATACACAGCCTCAGTCACATACCAGTAATGACAGTTCAGTCACGTGGTGGATCACAGAAATAGGGGAAGTCACGTAAGATTGCATCCCCTAAAGCTTGACGTGGATCCTATATGCCTGCATCCCAGCATTGAGCGGGCAAATGTAGGAGGATGAGTTCGAGGTCAGCCTGGGATCCATACCAAGACCCAGCCTAAAAGGGAACAGTAAGTTTGTGTCAGACAGAGACATAGCCCGTCATAGCCTGAAGAACGTTCTGTGATGTTTTTCTAACGAAGAGTTACCCACTGACACATTTCTCAGAATTGTCTCCACTGTTAAATGATGCATAATTATAATAGATGAGGAATAATTTATCAATAAAATGGAACTATCCTACATATAGAAGAAAACAAAAAACAAAAACAAAAACACAACCCAAAAGGAATGTAGGAAAAGGACATAGTTCAAAGGTTGGTTGTTGCATCCAGCTCCAAGGCCAGGAATCTGGGAGCCGTACATTATTCTTGATCAGATCCAGATGTGCAACCGCGATACATGGAAGACATAACCATTCTCAGACTTTAGTATGTGACATCAAATGGCAAACAGCAGTGCCTTTGACAGAGACCACCTCCTGGGTAGGTAAAGCCTCCGCCATCCTAGCAGCAGCACGGGGCACGCTCAGGTTTCCGGACGGGACAGTCCTCCTTCCTCCAGAGCTGGCTCTTGCTGATGGTGCTAGGCCGTTTAAAACCTTCCCCTTTCCACGGACAGAGTTATCCAAGGGGTTGGGAAACTGCCCCCCCCCCCGGGATTGAGTAATCATAGATCGTTGTTTGTGAGGCTTCCCTGGCAGGACATTTCTTAAAACCAGTAGGCAGCCAGCCAGAGGAATTGATTCCCGGGAATTCCATTAGTTGTAGCTAATCCCAGAAATCTTGTTAAATTTATAGCCTTTGAGTATGGACCTTTTCCTGGCAACAGGCTGAGGAATGTCGCCCTCTGTCCTTGGGCCACACTGTCGCTTTAACTCCTTCCACTCCACCCGTGCTTCTGAGCACAGCCACGGCCACAGTGGGCTGGAGTGATGATGAGGCAGCCAGGCACAACTGCTTTGGGGATTGCCAGGGATGGACGTCACAATGGACGCTCTGTTCTCCTGTCAGGAGAGGCCTTAGTAGGACGCGTGGAGGAGGGGCGGAGGGAAAGAGGCTTCTGTCTGTCTGCTTTTCCCTTGATCTGACTTCCCTTCTTTATATCTCCGCTCAAAACTTTCTTCAACAAGGGTAGAGAAGTTGATTTGGGGTCTGGGCCAGGTGAGTTCTCTGATAGCCTTTTTGTGTTGTAGATAGCTGTCTTAGCCAGAGGTGTGTGCTGCGTGGCTGGGCTCGCTTTTCTGAAGTGGTTTAATGAAGGGTACAGGAAGCAATCACACATTCTTAACATCCGAAACACTCTCAGCCTGTCCCCTCCCCGAAGCCCCAGGGACAGAATAGAGCTCTTCCAAGTAAAGGGGATGTGAATTAAGATGTGCAGGCTTTCAGACAAAGACAACGGCGTCTGGAATCCACCCTATCCGGTAACTGTTTGATATGATTGGGAAAGATTCAAACCAGGCAGACAAAACAGCCAGAGAGGAGGCTGTGGTTCTTTCGTGGTAACTGGGAAGGATTTTGAGAATATCCGAGTGGCTTTTTTGCAAGTGTCCTTCTCTCTGCATCCTTGAGAATCAGTACTGAAAACCTTTAATCCCAGCACTCAGGAGAAGAGGGAGGTGAATCTCTGAGCTCGAGATCAGCCTAGTCTACATAGTGAGATCAACATAGTGAGTTCCAGGACATCCAAGGCTCCAAACATAGTGAGGCCCTGTCTCAAAAACCCAAACGATGATGACAATAGTGATGATAAATAAATAAAAAGTGAAGACCTATGCTGGCTAGTTTTCTGTCAACTTGACTCAAGCTGTAGTCACTGGAGAGGAGGGAGCCTCAGCTAGTGACTGATCTGGGAGGGTCCAGCCCATTATGGGTGGTGCCAATCCTGGTGGTCCTGGGTTCTCTAAGAAAGCAGGCTGAGCAAGCCATGGGGAGCAAGCCAGTAAGCAGCACCCCTCCAGGGCCTCCGCATCAGCTCCTGCCTCCAGGTCCCTGCTCTGTTTGAGTTTCTGTCCTGGCCTTCTTCAATAACGGACTAGAATGTGGAAGTGTAAGCCAAATAAACCCTTTCCTCCCCAGTTTGCTTTTTGGTCACAGTGTTCCACCACAACAATAATAACTCTAACTAGGACACGCCCATTTCAGAAGGTAATTTGGAGAGAAGTGGGATCGATCCAGCTTTGCCCCCAAGTCATTCCAGCTCCTTGATGCACAGCCTCGACCCTATTCTGGCTTTGGCCAGTGCTGAGTTTTGTATTTGTATTTTGCACAGTGCCACCAGCAAGAAAGCTTTGGAGCCGGGGAACTGCATTTGATGTCAAATGCCAAGGCCTGGGCGTCCTTGCCTCAGTCAAGTTCCCGATCAGACAGTGTCTTTGAAACGGTATTTAACTTGGCTGGTCCTCAGTTACCTCTGCCTGGGCTGAGATTCCTTCCAGCCACAAAGTACTGTGAGTCTGTGATTTCCTGAGTCACGCAGATGGTGGCAAGCTATAGTCGGAGGGCATTCTGCAGACCCGGGAATGAAACCCAAGTCACCGGTGACTCTCCAGTTCTCTTCCAGCCTGCACGCTGCTCTAGCTTTCATTTCTGGTCATACAGAGCTCGGGCCTCCATCCTTGCCTCACAGACAGATGGCAAAGCCTCCTTGTCCATCTCCCATTACAGGAGTTCAGGTTTCCCCGCTTCCTCCCCAGCCTGCCTGCTGCCTGACTCACTTCGGAACTGCACTGCTCATGCTAGCGTTGCCTTTGGTAGCCTCTTCTGGGCTTTCCCATTGCTTTCCAGCCTGTGTCTTGAGGCCTCGGTTTGACACCAACACACCTTCAGATGATTTCTTCTCTCCTCCTTCTGCAATCTGATGGGCACCTTAGCTATTCTGTGCCTTTCTCTTTAAGGTCTTGGCTTACACGGCAACTTGACTCCTCGCACCCGAATGCCCTGTTAAGCTACCGTGACTCGCTGCTTGCTGCTGTCCACTTGCTCAGGAAGAAAGCCAAACACCCTCTGCTCTTCAGAACTCCTTAGAGTCACACCTGCCTCTCCCTTTTCCTTAACTCTTCTCCCACACGGCAGAGCGGCTAGCGGTTGTCTTTCTCTACAAGGTTTCAGGCACTTGGAGAGGATATTGAAAGCAGAAACCTGGATCATTGCCTGGCGTACACTAGGTGCTCACTTACAGAGCGTTGGATCCAGCAGATAGGCAGCCATCCTTTTTACGGAGCGCAGATTTAATACCTGTCAAATAAACAGAAAAATTGCAAGCTCCAAGCTTAAGGTGAGTATGCAGGTACACAGAGTCAGCCAGAGCTTGATTCCAGGGTTCTGCATCTGGGGATTCTGTCAGCTGCAGATGGAGATGGTGGAGATGGGCCTTTCCCTTGTCATTATCCGAAAACCACACAGCGGATCAGCTGTTGGCAGAGCATTTATGTTGTTTGCATCGTTCTAAGTAATCCAGAGACAAATGAAAAGTACGAAAGAGATTGGAGATAGGTTATACGCAAACACATTTCTTGTGAGACTTTAATATTAAAAATTCTGGTATCTTAGGGGAAGATTTTCAGTAATCAGTCCCCTAGGGATACTGGGCTCTCTCTCTTTCTGTACACACACACACACACACACACACACACACACACACACACACACACACGCATGCACGCACATATGCACATACACACATGTATGCACACATGTGCGCACACACGTATGGGCACACACACACACACACACACTCTAACACAGTTATGGTCTGCGGTTACTGTTCAAAGGCTATTCTAAGTGATACTTTTGAATGTGCACTCAGAGGACAGAGTCTTCAGCAAGGAGATTATCCCAACAGGCCTGACCTGTCATACAAACTCTTGAACCTGGGTCAGGGACTGAGACAGATTTGACGCTGGGAGTTTCCTGCTAGGGTTGAAAAGCCACAGGGCAAGGGGGTGCAGGTGGCCTGCAGGAGCGAGGCCCTTGCTGGTAGACCCTAAGACAATGAGGACCGCAGTTCTGTAACCTCAAGGGACTGCATTAGGCTGACAGCGAGATGAACTCCACAGAGCCTCCAGAAGGACAGGAGGGCCCTTCAGCACCCCGAGTCCAGCCCTGAGAAGGGGCTGAGCAGAGAACCTGTCACAGTGGATCTGAACCTGGCACCACAGAACTGCGAGCCAATCAATGGCCTTAGAGCTATCTAAACTTACGGCAGTGTGCTAAGTTACAATAAAGCGGATCCAGCATTGTTGCTGCTTTATCAAACATTAATTACCTCTGAATTTATTTCCTGCTTTGCTCCCCTTTTCTAGCCTCCCCCCACAAGGAACTTAAATAAGAAGACCCGAGAATAACAGATAGAAATTAAACACACTGAGTCATCACTCTTGCCCTCCTGTGCTCAAACTGATGCACCGACTGCTCTCTGGATATGCCTGTCCCAAGCCAGCCTGAGTCACAGTGCAAATTTATTTGTAGTGTTTGATGGCAACTGTTGCTTTCAGGAAATGACCATACCTGAGCACAGCTCTGCAAACAGCGTGTCCACACCAGGAGGAAGTCAAGGCTGTCCCAGGGTCTAACTTCCTCTTCAGCACCTGTGACCTATCAGGGACGGATTAAAGAGAGGCCCGTTCACTGTTTAGTCCCAGAGCAGAGTCTGTGGAGAAGAGGGTTATGGTTCAAAGGTATTTACTTTCTCTAAGAATGACTAACGCAGCACATGAGTCACTCAGCCAAGTTTCCAATAGAATATTCTACAGATGATTCAGAAGGAAAGAAAAATCAAAGGTCCCACAGCATGAGACTGTGGAAGGGAGGGGAGCCAGAGATGGCAAGACTATAAAAAACTATAATCCAAATTGGCCACTTGTAAATTTTATCAGTAAGGCATTCTTGGAGGAAGAAACTGTGTGGCTACACACACACAGACACGAGTGTGCTTAGACTCAGAGTCTGTATGCAAAGTGAACCCAAAGCCCTGTAGCCAAGGACTGGACATCATGCTGGGAGCCGAAGCCCAAATTATGCTGTGCAAATAAATCAAGGTCATTCCTTGTTTCTTTTTATTTATGCTTGTGCCTGTGTCTGTGTGAATGTGTGCCATATGAGTGTAGTACCCTCAGAGGCAAGAAGAGAGTGTCAGATCCTCGGAGCTGGAGGGGCCTGTGAGCTGCTCCTCAACAAAGGAACTGGGAGCTGAATTCAAGTCCTCTGAAGGAGCCGCGAGTGTTCTTAACCTCTTAGCCATCCACCTCATGAGCCCCACAGGTCGCTCTTTAATAATTGTGTCTATAGCAAGGATTAAGTGGGTCCACTTCTGAGGAGGTTGCTATGGGTAGATGGTCTGGGGGAAGTTGGATTCCCGGGCTCCGACTTTGCCTCTGTCGTTTTGGATTGTGAGCGGGTGATGCCTTTTCACTTCTATGAAGCGCATCAGAGCAGGTTCACACAGTCTTCACCTCAGTCAGATAATCTAGTGCAGATGACCTTTGTGAGATCTGGAGAAGGAAGCTGGGACTGGGGAGTGGACAAGGACTTTGTACAAAGGAGGCGCCGCCAAAAGTGTTCCTGAAGATAGCGTACAGTGAAGGGCAGGCCAGATCGTCACGGGATGGCTTGGCTCTGTCTGATAGCAACAGTGACAGTGTTTCTAGTGAGTCAGCTCAGAGCATGAGATCACTTAGGTATCCCTCCTTCCGGGGAGTCATCCAGCGGCCAAGGAAGTCGGGCAGACAAGGGTGTATTCTGACTTCTGATAACAGCTAACAATGCCCCTGGGGACACAGAGGGGATAGGAGGGCTGTAGATGGGCCTAGAAGTGGGCCCGTTTGATGCAAAGGATGATGCAAAGCTGACGTCACCCAACTAGTAACTCCTGATGAATGAATAGAAATCCAGGACTCACACAGCGTGGACTCCAGCCCACAGTCCTTCAGTTCAATGTTTTCATTTAGCAAAGATTAAAATGTGGAGGAAGTATATAGGGGAAATGCTGATAACGAAAACTGGAGAGGAGGGTTAGCTCTGTGAAGCGCTCAGTGAAAATACCCGTCTCCTCACCCCCACCCCATCTCTAGTGTTGAATTCTCTCTCTCTCTCTCTCTCTCTCTCTCTCTCTCTCTCTCTCTCTCTCTCTCTCAGTGTGTGTGTGTGTGTGTGTGTTTATTTTTGTTCTGTTTTTGAGGCAGGGTTTCTCTGTGTAGCCCTCACTGTGTAGAGCAGCTTGGGTTTGAGCTTAGAGATCCGCCTGCCTCTGCCTCTCAAGCCCTGGGACTAAAGGCAGCATTGTCTCTTAAAAACCCAAAACCTCACTAATTATGCAAATGGTGCTTTTTAACCTTACAAATGGTAATTTTGTGTATATAAAGCGCATGCTTTTATAAATGTGGTTAAGTCTAGAAGGCTCCAGACTTGATAAATGTAACCAGACAATTCTCACCCACTTTAATGTTATATAAATGTTCACCAACGTTTTTCAGTTCTTTTATATTTCCATTTAAGTCTTTACCTGAGTTTTATGTTGGTATATGAAATAAGCTTTAGTAATCAAAATCACCTTAATCTAATTAGGCACTTTTTTTCTCCTTACTAGTTATAGCTAATTTATCTTTTCACTCATTTGAAACAGTTACACAACAATGGGAACAATAGTTTACAGTAACTGACATTTGTCGCTGTTTGCTGGGTGACTGGCTGTGTGGCATGTCATTATTTCTCACAGTCACCCTGAAGCTGGGTGTTGTGGTTACAGTTTCCATGTGCTTAGGGCATTCCTCGGTAAGGAAACTGTGACACACACCGCTGATGCACTGGCTTGAAGTTCCCCTGGGAGAAAGGGATGGTGTTGAGACAGAGACTTGGACACCATCATTCTAGTGTTCAAGCTGTGAAATGGCTTGGCGGAGCTGGCTTTGTTCCTACACACTTGGTCTTGTTCTAGCATATTCTTCCCTGTGCTAACATTCTACTGTCTTTATGTTCTGTGATCAAATCTTCTCATATTTAAGGTACAAGTAACTTCCAATTTCCTCACTGCTCCTCTTTCTATTTGACAGTTTAGCTTCGTAAAGTGTCGAGACCCTCTGGGTCTGAATACATAAAGCATGATTCTCTCTCTTTCTTTCTTCCTTTCTTTCTTTCTTTCTTTCTTCCTTCCTTCCTTCCTTCCTTCCTTTCTTTCTCTCTTTCTTTCTTTTTTTTTGTTGTCATTGTCATTTTGAGATATGGTCTAACTATGCAACCCAGGTTGGCCTCAAACTCATGAGACTCCTGCCTCAACTTCCCAGGTGCTGGAATTATAGACGTATACCGTGTTTTCTAGAAAGTCTTGCAACAACACTTCCTAGGATAGTGAGTTTTGCTTGTCTGTTAAACGCGGTGTAGTTTATGGCTGTGCCCGTGGGTGCCAGGGACCCCACAGAGTTTCCACTGGGACCAAACCGCCCTTAAGCTAGCCTTAGACATATGAGCTGTGTGTAATTACTCTGTGCCCCGGCCCCTCATCTGTAAAGAGGGCCTAATAATGATCCTCAGTATAAGCATTCATTAGGAGCTTGATGAGTTCGTTTTTTCATCAGGATAACACAGTAACTGCACAAACAACTTTCAGGAGTGAAAGGTGTATTGGGGCTCACGGTTCCAGGGGTGTCTGTCTAAGGTCGGCTAGCTCCGTTGCTCTGACTTGAATGAACCAGCACCGTATGTGCTGGAGGAGGCAGCTCATCTTGTAGAAGCCAGAAAACAAAGAGAGGGCAGGCAAGCCCCAGCCAGCCAGCCCCCTTCTCCTGCATCTGTTCATCCAGGCTCCAGCTGACTGGGTGGTGATGCCAATATGTCCAGGGTAGGTCTTCCCTCTCTGAGGTCCCTGCCTCACAGACACACCCAGGAGTGCAGTGTCCTAAGCTCCCAGGTGTCTCTCAACCCAATCCAGTTGACATTTAGGGAGACCGAGTTAACCCGAGTGAGGTGCTCACAGTGGTGCGGTGCCTGTCACACAGTGGCTGCTGTTTCCCGATAGAAACAGGGCCTTTGCTGAAGTCACGAGGCTCTGGATTAAGTCTCTTGGCCCAAATGTGCACCACAAATGTGAGTGTTTTTCCGTTTGTGATCAGGGATCTCCCTGGAGTTGTCATGTGACGTTCCCCAAATAGCACATGTGTTCTAAGTGCTTTTACATGGACTTTTAAAAACTCCTCAGAGAGGCCTGCTGAGCAGAGCAGAGAGGTACTGTCCTGTTAATAATGTGGGGAAATGGAGGCATCGCTGCTCAACAAAGCTTGTTTGTATGTGACCTCTGGTGCTGGCTGACACCGAAGCCCAAGTTCAGAGGATATCAGAGTATCATCTTCCATGTGGAAGGAGGTGGCTCGTAAAAAGCTATCAAGTGTAACTGACCCGAGAGGAGCTCTGCACACAGCATGTATCATGTAGCTTTGGTGTGTCCACAAGCTTTTTGGTCGTCGTCCCCCCCCGTAGCTTTAATATGATCTGGTTTTATGCTTCCTTTTTAGAAATACTTTGAAACTGTGGTTTCCTGAGGTCTGACCTCTGCAGGACCTGTTGGGGACACAGAGGCACTGTGAGGCATTCTTGGGATTCTTTGTTAAATGAAGCCCAGCTCTGGGTTAAAGGAGAATGCTCACAGTTGGATGGCGAGCTCCTGGGGGGGGCATGATGGGACAGGCTCTGGGCTCATCCTGCGGTTTCTTCCCACAGACTCGTCCCTCACGCCGCAGCAGATGGTGGGCGTTGGACTGGGCTCCGTGGCTTTTGTGACCATTCTTGCATTCCTCTCCTTCTCAGCGGTGTGGTATGTGGGACCGTCACTTTTGAAGAATGAGTGGAATGGAGGGGAGGCTAGGGTGGGAGTCATGCCGAACAGCTGGGCATGAGGGTGGTCAGAGCACAGGCAGCAGGTAAGCCAGCGTGACTAACCTCGAAGCTGGGAGAAGGAAGGCGATGTGGGATTCCCCTCTGCATGCTGTGAATACCGTTGGTTAATAAAGAAACTGTCTTGCGCCTGTGCAGAGCAGAATAGAAGTAGGCAGGGAAAACTAAACTGAATGCTGGGAGAAAGAGGGCAGAGTCAAGTAGAAGCCATGTATCCCTGCAGGAGACAGAGGCTGGAACTTTAGCCAGTAAGCCACAGTCACGTGGCAATACACAGATTAATAGAAATGGGTTAAATTAATATGTAAGAGTTAGCCAATAAGAAGCTAGAGCTAATGGGTCAAGCAGTGATTTAATTAATACAATTTCTGTGTGATTATTCTGGGGCTAAACTGCTGGGAACCAACAAGCAGCCTCTTCTCCAACAAATTGGCGCCGAGGAAGGGGATGCCCTGACCAGGGAAAAAGTAGCAATAGTGATGACAGCCCGGTTGCTCCAGCAGGCAGGCTGATCTATGCAGCTTCATCGCTGGGACCCTGCTGGCAGACATCCATATGAGCTGTGCTCGAGGGGCACGCAGTGAAGAAACAGTCTACTGTGCAATGTTTATGCCTTCTCTTCCTCCTCTATGTCTAGATGGCTGGTGCGCACCGCCTGGGAAGGCTGCCTTATGATGGACAGCTGTTTCTACAGCTTTTCAGGTGTCCGGGCTGTGTGACTTCCATCCAGAGCCCTTGGGTGAACCTGAAACCTTCTCCATCCCAGCATGGCCTCGTCCCTGAATTCAAGATGGCACCAATCCTATCTCTATGAAATCTTCCAAAAGGAGAAAACTTGGGAACTGTTTTATGTGCTTCATGCTTTCAGGATCAGTGTGTGTCCATGAACTTGAGACTCGTGCCCAGTGTAATACTGACCACAGGCCACAGCCCTAAGAGTCAGCTCCTGTAGACACTGACTGTGCCCAGGCCATAGATCCTGAGAGTCAGCTCCTGTAGACACTGACTGTGCCCAGGCCACAGCCCTGAGAGTCAGCTCCTGTAGACACTGACTGTACACAGGACATAGGCCATGAGAGTCAGCTTCTGTAGACACTGACTGTGCCCAGGCCATAGATCCTGAGATGTGGAGTTGCTGGGTCTTACTTTAGGTACTCCTGCTAATTAGTTCAGGGTTCACTCTTTCACAGTAGGTAATGAGATGGACTTAAGTCTGGGCTGGAACTTGGTTTTATGAAGGAGGTCGTTGGATAAAGAACAGTGACATGAACAAATGCGTCAAGCATTTTAGAATTAGCCCTTCCCTTCAGTTAACTGGTGAACTAATTAGAAAATACAGTAACGTGGCCACCCTCTCGAGTTCCCTGCATGACTGTTAGGCAACATGGCTTTGATACAATTCCAGTTGTTTGTGTGAGATCAAAAGTAATGCCTACTTTCCAGTAAAACACGTTCTGTAATTTTGCCCATTCTTTCCTTGGTTTGGTTTTGTTTCTGTCTCACCATCTATGAAATTATCCTCTGCCTCCCCTGAGAAATCTGGGTTTGGCAGTAGTGTAGAAACAGTGGGTTAAAGCAGCATTCATATGGTTCATGACCAGAATCTGCAGGAGTGTTGGGAGAGGGGGGGCAATGGTGATTGACATACCTTAGCTACACCTCAGTGACCATGACCAAGACCATATCGTGGCCCATGAACATTAGCTATAGGCAGGGCTGGCCTATTGTCCACGTAGTGGTTATACACATAGAGTGTATTCAGTTTGACTTTTAAAACCCAGTCGGTATTCTTCAGCTTCTTCTCCAACCACAGCTCAGCTCCAAGGCTGTGGCTTCTCTCTTTCTTCTCCCTCCCTCCCTCCCTCGCTAGACCTACAGAATCCAAAGCACAGGGGGAGGGGAGGGTGGGGAGGACATGTGGTTACATAGTACAACCTCAAGGTGGAACACAATGTGGTTCTAGAACTGTGCACCCCTGTGGTCCTGAAGAAGAGAGACAATCTTTCCAGGACCATGGCTGGTGTGTTCTCTTCTGGCTTGCAGGGTGTTTGTGGGTGGAGGTCATAGCTGAGTTGCCCAGTGATTATGACTTATAGTTTGTCTCATGGTGAAATTTGATTGGTGTGGGACCTTTACCAACTGAATTGCGTATTAGGGGGTGTTAGTACCTTTCTCTCCTTTCTTCTGAGATTGGCTTAGTTCCCACAAGAGCATGAGATACTGGTGAGTCCATTCTTCCCATGAGACATCAAGAGACCCCATCAGAAGTTGTGAAGATGCCCGGGGCCATGCCCTTGGGCTTCCCAGGCTCCTGAGCCAGAACCCAAGTTAACAGCTCCTTTGTGCTTTGTAAATCACTGATACTCAGCTGTTCTGTTAGAACAGAAAACAGATTGAAACACAATTCAACTGCTCATAAAGCTGTTCTAACTGGAGGGGTGGGGGCTAGTTCTACTCAACTGGGAAAAGACAGGCAGAGGGAGGCAACCCAGACTTGTGTATTCAGTGCCAGCTGCCGGCCTTGCTAGTCCTCTGTCCTTTGAGTTACGTGGGACTAATATTTCCAGCACTCCCTAATTTTGTGTTCTAGGATAACTGTCCAAGATGTAGTTGCTCATGAGGGGACTTAGCATAATTATCACTGAAAGGAAGAAATCTCACCTCTCTAGAAAAAAAAAAACCCTCTGGTTCAATAACTGTGTTAAGTAAATTATCAGCTTGTCGTGCAGTGTAGAAATATAAAAACAGTGCATTTACAGCTGCAGAAACAGCAAACACACAGACTTTGTTATTTCCTCCGATTGTTCTAAATTACTGCGGAGTCGCTCTGTGCACATACACAGCAGCAGCAGGCGGTGGGCATTTCCCCCCGCTGTTCATCTTAGCTTTCCCATAAGCACGAAGAAAGAAATTTTACAACCTAAGACCTCTCCCCCCTCCTTAATTGGCTTCCCAATTAATGGAGGGACAAGGGATACTTGTAGACTGTAATATGAGGGGGGCCTGCTTGTTTGTACTTTCTGTCCTGCCTGGTTTCCCACAGCTGTTTTGCCCCAAAGAAAACTCACACAGAGATCTCTATAAGTTATAAAGCTGATTGGCCCATTAGGTCAGGCTTCTAGTTAGTTCTTATGACTTATATTAACCCATTATTCTGATCTATGTTTGCCATATGGCTCAGTACCTTTTTCAGTGCTTCGGTGGTCTGGGCAGGAGTGGGAGGAATCAACTTCCTCCTTCCCAGAATTCTCCTGTTCTCATTGTATCATTTCTACTTCCTGTCTGGTTTACCTGCCTTTATTCCCTGCCTGGCCAATCAGCATTTATTTAAAACATGATTGACAGAATACAGACAATTATCCCGTACCAGTAGACTATGGTGTTGAGCTGGCTTCTGAGTCCCACTAACTAAAGCTAGATCTGGAGTCAGAGACATGGCTCAGCCTGGTGACCTGAGATGAAGCCTGGGGACCTACACAGTGGATGGAGAAAGCTGATTCTTGCAGATTGTCCTCGGAACACCACATGTGTTCTGTGGCATGTATATGCCCATACATATACACAAACATACATGCACGCAAAATGTAGTTTTTAAAATATAGATCCTAATATAGGGATGGAGGAAGATTCTTTTCCATATGACCACCATGGGAACTTCTTAGATCTGGTTTTAAATTAGCTTCCAGATTGGGAATCAGAATTGAGGTATTACCTAGTAGTGGAATAAACACATTCACTTTGGACTGTTGTGGAGTTTTTGGTGTGTGTGTGTGTGTGTGTGTGTGTGTGTGTGTGTGTGTGCAAAGTTTGTGGGGACACCCTTAGCTGTACATCAGGCACCTCTTTCATTCCATCTAGGTTCTGTGAAGTAGAAAGGTCAGGGGTTTCAGGTCCCCATGTTAAAGGGAGAAACGGATGCGGATAGCTTTGTGACTTGAATGTTTTGATGCAAGCCTAGTTTTCTTCCTTGGCACTGGCTAATCCAAGGATTAGCCACTGATGTAATTTGTAGACTGCCTCTTTGGTTTTCGGAAAACCAGGTCTTTAGATTTCCAAACAATATCATGTCAGCTTTATATTACCTTATTGTTAGTTTCTATGTTGCCTGGCCACGAGTCCCTATGCCTGTCTTTTGACTCTTAAGTACCACTACCCACCACTTCTAGAAGTAGCCACAAACAGCCAAGCAAATGAATGCAGATTGGGGGAAATGGAATAGTGTTAGAAGACCTGGAATTGCAGCAGAGCACTTGAGATAAAGGCCAGGGTAGTGGTGATTATCCCAAACTTCCACGCCAGCTTGGAATAAAGGTCATATTTAAATTTATTTGAGAGGAAGTAAAAAGCAATGCTCAGTGGACCCTTTTGAGTGCTAAACTCTTATTCTGATTTTCAAGATCTGTTTTTCCATTCTCTTCTATGAACCACTGGTCATAGCAGTCTAAAGACCTTCTGCCTGTGACAGTCATTGTCTAGGCCAGGTGCTTGCTTCTGAAGGGAAGGAGAACATTTTTTGGTTTTTGGTTTTTGGGTTTTTTTTGTTTGTTTGTTTGCTTGTTTTTTGGAGACAAGGTTTCTTTGTAGATTTGCTGTCTGTCCTGGAGCTAGCTCTTATAAACCAGGCTGGCCTCGAACTCAAAGAGATCCACCTGCCTCTGCCTCCCAAATGCTGGGATTAAAGGTGTGTGCCACCACCTCTCGGCAAGGAGAGCATTTTTTATGTTCTTGTTTATGCAGTGAAAGATACAATGAAGTAAATCAACTTCTTTTAAAGGTTTATTTAGTGGGTTATGGAGGGGAAAAGGGCGAAGGGGAGAAGAGCAGAGAGAAAGGCAGAGAGGGAGAGAGAGAGAGAGAGAGAGAGAGAGAGAGAGAGAGAGAGAGAGAGAAGAGGGGAAAGGGAGAAGGGTAAATCAACTTTTAAAGATTTATTTTTGTGTATGAGTATTTTGCATGTGTGTCTTACACCGTGTGCATGTCAAAAGAGGGCATTAGATCCCCTGAAACTGGAGTTATGGACGGTTATGAACCCAGCACATGGTTCCTCTGCAAGAGCAATAAGCGCTCTTAACCCCACCAACTTTGCAGCCCACAGCAAATCCATTTTTAAAGCATTGAGCATTGCGCGTTCTGGGTTCAGAGAGATTGGGTCACCCCAGTTGTGGTGGCCATGTTGGTATAAGCCTTCATATCCCTACCTTTTGAGAATATCATTCCAGTTCTACCTAAAGGATTCAAACTATGAGTGTGTTTCAATTGTAGTGGCCATGTTGGTATAAACTTTGATAGCCCTGCCTTTTGAGAACGTAATCCAGGTTCCCCCAAAAGGTTCCCCCGAAAGGATTCAGACTATGAGTGTGTTTTGTGATGTGCTTCCACTCCTCAGTATTTCCTGACCTTTGTCAGTAGTGACTGACTTACAAGTCTATACCGTGGCTTATTTAATTGTATTCTACCATGCATATATATCTACAGTGTTTCCAGGTTTTTCTTTATACAAATCTGTAAAAAGATGTGCAGTTATTAGATTAAATTCATAGGCATAAAGTTGTTGGAATGAAAACTGTATGTATTGAAGTATGTTTTGCTAGGGAAGTCAATTTATGCTCTCACCAATAGAAAGCCTCTTTGCTGCTGGAGTTGGTATCACTCATCTCTATGCCTCTGGTAGGTGGAAAGTAACGTTTTAATGTTTTGCTTGCATTTCTTGGCTTATCCATGCTGGTTGGCCCTTTGTAGCTGGTCTTTGAGAAGAACCATTGCCTCCATAAGATACTTGTCTATATTGATTGGGCTAGCTCTTTATGCATGAGAGAGGT